CCCCCCCCCCTAAAATTTTGGCTGGATCCGCCTTTGGTGTTTGCATGGCGACTGTCTCGTCAAACAAATAAAAAAACAAAAAACAAATAAAGACCTACCTGAGGTTTAAACCCACCTTGACCCACGTTACTGTAGCTAGCAGGGTCATATAGGTGAACAATTTACTTATCCCATATTATCTAACATTATCCTACGTTATCACACCCTAACCCACTTGCAAATCTAAAGTGTTTCCAGCAATGAACTGACATACGTTTATTGACCTATCATTCAAAGACCTGACCTATGTAAAGAAGAAGATATGAACCATGCCATGGCCAACTGCTTTGAAGCTCTTCTTGGTAAGACATGTACTACTGAACAAATCTACTTATGAAAGTAATGAAGAAGCCACTGATATACTACTTTGAGTTAAACTATTCTTGATTGAGTCGACTCCCCTCCCCTCAGAGGTACTACATTACTTTTTGCTCTCCATGAACTCATCGTAATACAAAGTTCCGTGTTTTTTTCAACTAGGTGCTATATTCCTAGAAAGTGGCCTACAGGCAGCAATAGAATTCCTCAGCCGTGTTGTCTTTGAAGACGAGGTAAGACAGGTGTACACAGGGAGCCCAACTCAGAAATTTAAGCGTAAACGCCGCGAAGGGAATCAAGGGTGGCTTAACGGTAGCGCACTCGCCTCTCATCTCAGGGGTCTGAGGTTCCTGTGCTACTAAGGTTTTCCATATTCTGCAAACTCGGTAGCGAGCTGTACTCTGAAATTTGGTTTTTATGCTGCTGTCAATCAAAAATAATCAGTCGGTACCTTTCATGTTCTTGAATGGCGGCAGTAAAAACCAATTTTACAACAAGCAGTTGAAATGTTTGAGTTCGCAGATTATCAAAAACCACAGTGATCGTAGGGTTCTACTAGTTTATTCAGTCATTGGATGGTACTTGCATTCCTTAAAGAGTTTCTGTCATCAGTTGTTACTCGTTTCAACAGGAAATAAGAAAAGTATGGGTCGATCTACCAAAGCATCCCCTACAGGTAAGGCTTATTGTCATCTTTTTTGACATTGAAAGTGACTCCAGAAGAAAACAATAGATTTTGTATGAAAAATAACACTGCAAGCTTACTGCGTCGATGACGTCACGTTCCAATGAAAGCACGCAGGGATCATTGATCAGCCAATCAATATGCTCATACATGATAACGTCACGTCACGCAGGATCATTGATCAGCAAATCAATATGCTCATACATGATAACGTCACGTCACGCAGGATCATTGATCAGCCAATCAATATGCTCATACATGATAACGTCTCGTCACGCAGGATCATTGATCAGCCAATCAATATGCTCAAACATGATAACGTCACGTCACGCAGGATCATTGATCAGCCAATCAATATGCTCGAACATGATAACGTCACGTCACGCAGGATCATTGATCAGCAAAACAATATGCTCAAACATGATAACGTCACGTCGAGCAGGATCATTGATCAGCCAATCAATATGCTCGAACATGATAACGTCACGTCACGCAGGATCATTGATCAGTCAATCATTATGCTTAAACATGATAACGTCACGATTACGGTAGCCTTCGTGCTGGGCGACTTTTACATTGTTTTCTGAACAGATGTGTGCTTTGCTTATATTTGATTCGATGTTTTTAGTCGCAACAACCACAAGGAGATAGACATCTTATTCCATCATCTCCTGTCCTCGAGGTATGAATCTTAACAGCTTTACTTGTACATCTGATTCATGTAACTTTCTATTGGTTATACAAAACCTGGGGCGTAGCCAGGGATTTCCAAAGGGGCAAGCCCAAATTCAAAAATCTGCCATTTTGTTTGAGCCTTCGAAACGCCTAAAAAAACGTTGAAAAACGACATTACGTTTTACGTTTTATTTTTGCAAATTCTAAAAAAGCTGCCATTTTGTTGTCACGAAGGGATGGCCCTTGTCCCCTTGGCCACCCCTTGCCTACGTCCCTGAAAACTGTTTGTCTATCTTTTTATATTTTCTGTAGAAGTTACACGAACTGGAAGAATCTACCGGTATTACTTTTAATCATATCCGGCTACTGGCCAGAGCATTTACACATCCTCAAGTAGGATTCAACAACTTAACACTGTAAGTCAGGAGTAAAACCATGAATTAGGTTGTAGGTGCTGTAAGTCAATACCATATGTTTCCCACTCATACGATAACCATTCTTATGGGAAGTCATTTCATTGTTACGGCATGTCGTACCGTGT